GAGACAGCATAATTTAAACAGCGAAATGTTGAAGCAGTACTCTTGTTCCAGCTTCAGCAGATTGCCTCAGTTCTCAGCAAACATCTGAATACACTTACAATGATCTTTCAATTTCAGAAAATAACCCCAACAGGCAGTGACTAAGATCATTTACTGAAAGCAACAGTTTGGATGGGCACCTAGGCTTTATTCCAGGCCAGACTCAAAGCAAACATCTTTCCCAGCTGGGTGTAAAGATGTAGTACGATGCAAAATAAGTTGACTAAACAATAATTAAGAAAGCCTCATTCAAGGATGTGTGAAATTTGGAGTCTTAAACTAAGCCTCAATGTTGGGCAGAGTACAGAATGCTTTTCACTGTACCTAGCCCATTCCCGCACAATACCTGACATGTGAATGCATCTCAAAACCTGGTGCCAACTATAAAATGTTCCACATCCAGTCGTTTTTATTAAACATTAAAACATATGTTGCTGTATTCCAAACGTAAACATTTAAAAATATTCTCAAAGCCATAACTGCACAAAAATATCCATCAAAACAGGTAGGATCAAGCAATCTCCTGACCCTAACCTCTGAGCAGCAACTCAGGGCATCGACAACTTCTGCTTTTTCTAAGGAGAAGCGAGATGGAGACTCTGTGTGTTTTAAAAGTGACAACATGCAATTGTTAGTAGTAATGCATCAAATGATTGCTACTCAATTTAAAACTATTCCACTCTGCTCTGAGACTGAATGCAAGAACACAGCCTTTTATTTAAAAAGTGATTGCACATCTGGATGTGCTAACCCAGCAGTAACACCAGTGGGGGGGTGGGGGGGGGGAGGGACATGGGTTTAGTTTTAAGAACCTAAGCTAATGGGGGAGTTCCAATCAAAACAAAATATTGAAATCCAAGCCATCATTATTCATCAACAGTGATGTGGATGATGATACTAACATATGCAGATAGAGAGAGAGAGAGCAATAACATGGACTCACTCTGAGCAATGGACTATCCCCGAACCAAACCCCTCACAGCCAATCTCCATCATTCCTTCCTTAGTCAAATACCCCTCTCGCCTCTCAGCCCCCCCTCTCCTCAGCCCCCCTCTCCTCAGCCCCCCTCTCCTCAGCCCCCCTTCTCCTCAGCCCCCTCTCCTCAGCCCCCCTCTCCTCAGACCCCCCTCTCCTCAGACCCCTCCTCAGACCCCTCCTCAGACCCCCCCTCTCCTCAGCCCCCCTTCTCCTCAGCCCCCTCCTCTCAGCCCCCCCTCTCCTCAGCCCCCCTTCTCCTCAGCCCCCTTCTCCTCAGCCCCCTCTCCTCAGCCCCCCTTCTCCTCAGCCCCCCTCTCCTCAGCCCCCTCTCCTCAGCGCCCCCTCTCCTCAGCCCCCCTTCTCCTCAGCCCCCCCTCTCCTCAGCCCCCCTTCTCCTCAGCCCCCCTCTCCTCAGCCCCCCTCTCCTCAGCCCCCCTCTCCTCTCTGCCCCCCCTCCTCTCAGCCCCCCTTCTCTCCTCAGAGCACCTCTCCTCTCAGCCCCCCCTCTCCTCAGCCCCCCTCTCCTCAGCCCCCTCTCCTCAGACCCCCCCTCTCCTCAGACCCCCTTCCTCAGCCCCCTTCCTCAGCCCCCCTCCTCAGCCCCCCCTCCTCAGCCCCCCCCTCCTCAGCCCCCCCCCCTCCTCAGCCCCCCCCCCCTCCTCAGCCACCCCCCCCTCCTCAGCCACCCCCCTCCTCAGCCCCCCCCCTCCTCAGCCCCCCCCCTCCTCAGCCCTCCCCTCAGCCCCCCCTCCTCAGCCCCCCCCTCCTCAGCCCCCCCCTCCTCAGCCCCCCCCTCCTCAGCCCCCCCTCCCCTCAGCCCCCCCTCCTCAGCGCCCCCTCTCCCCTCAGCGCCCCCTCCCCTCAGCCCCCCCTTCTCCTCCCCCCCTCTCCCCCCTCTCCCGGCCTAGCTGCGGGGGCCGGCGGGGCCCGCACACACACCTGGCTTCTCTTCTTCTGCTTCCGTCGCTCCGCCATGTTTCCAGCCCGAGTGACGTGTAACGGACCCGCATCAAAACCTCGCGAGAGGCAGCCCGGCCCCGCCCCCCCCACCCTTGGCCCCGCCCCCCACACACGCTGCTGCTGCTGCTGCCGCTGCTGTAGCGCCGCCTAACGGCGAGACGGGGAGCGAGCGCTGGGGGCGCGCCTCCTCCATCCATCCATCCCGGCCTCGGCCCCGCCCCTCTGCTGGTGCTCACAGTGCCTGTGATGCCCTCAGGTGTTGCTGCTGCTGCTGTTGTTGTTGTTGTTGTCCAGGGTGGGGCTGATGTGCAATGCGTGAGCTGTCGTTTGCTGATGACTTTCGCGTCGCTTTCTCCTTCCCGGATGTATATTTTTCTCTCTCTCTCTCTCTCGCTCTCTCGCTCTCTCTCGCTCTCTCTCTCTCTCTCGCTCTCTCTCTCTCGCTCTCTCTCTCTCTCGCTCTCTCTCTCTCTCTCGCTCTCTCTCTCTCTCGCTCTCGCTCTCTCTCGCTCTCTCTCTCTCTCGCTGCCAGGCCAATAACGCGCCCGAATCGTCGGATTTCCTCGGCTCAGCGCCAGCGCACTCCCCCCTTTCCCGAGTCAGAAGGTTGCGCTTCCCGCGTCGGGACTTGAGCTCGCCTCGTCTTAAGAGTTGCCCGCGCAGCGCGGAGGGGGGGGGTAGTTGCACGTTGGGTAGCGATCATTTGATGCGTCGCTGCTGACAATCGCACGATGACGCTTTCAACTGCACTCGAATGCGGTGCTGGGGGAAGCGGGGTGGGGGGTTGGGGGGGTACGTTGTCAGAGCTGCCGTCTTTTAGATGAGACAACAACAAGATTTCATTTATAGAGCGCCTTTCACGTCGGGAGGACGTCCCAAGGCGTTGGACAGTTGGGTCGGGACCCGAGCAGTGGGGGGTAAATGGTCAGGGTGAGGGGAGGGAAGGGAGGGAGCGAGGAGGGGGTAGAAAGTCGAGAGGGGAGCTGAAGGCTCGGTCAAAGAGAAAGGTCTTGAGACCGGCCTTGAAGGAGGAAAGGGAGGAGGCGGCGAAGGCACTGGGCGATAGAGTTCCAGAGCCTCGGGGCTGAGAGGCTGAAGGCCCGGCCACCGATGGTAGGGCGGTTGGGGCGGGGGATGTGGAGCAGACCGGAGCCAGAGGAACGGAGGGTATGGGTAGGTAAGTAGGGGGATAGTAGATTGGAGAGGTAGGAGGGAGCGAGGCCGTGAATGGCCTTGTAGGTGAGGATGAGGATCTTGAATTCGATCCTCTGGGGGATGGGGAGCCAGTGGAGGCGAGCGAGGGTGGGAGTGATGTGGTCGTGATTCCTGGTGCGGGACAGTACACGAGCTGCAGAGTTCTGAATGACCTGCAGTGTGGAGGGCGGTGCCGCGAAGGCCGGCGAGGAGAGAGTTCCCATAGTCCAGCCTTGAGGTGATAAAGGCTTAGGGTTAGGCCAAGGTCTCTTCTCCTGTTCAGGTTGACGTTACAGATCCCACGGCACTATTTGAAAAAAGGGCTTTGAAACGTCTTAATGATGTGATAAGGCACTATATCAAATGTAAGGATCATTGTAACAAATTAAACATGATTCTTATAGGACCGGTGCAAAGTACCTCCATCTACTGGCAGAAATTAGTCATAGGCGAACATAAAACAAGAAACGACAATTTGGCCGATAAAACCTATTCCTTCCACAGACCTATTGTGAGGGTCTTTGCTGAGATTTTCTCCTACTTAAATTATCCAGATTCACTGTCTCAGGACAAGATGGATTCAAAGGAGGCAACCAAGATTTTACAAGAGTTTCATGGATTCCTGGGGGAATCACTGGCTGAATATACTCTGGACACATAGAAACTACTGCATACTGGGATTAAAATAGGATGCATGTGTACTTTGTGGATGGGACAGAACTTGCCAAAACATCATCTGCTTTGAAAAACCTAGGTTTGCAATCGGAATCATGTGTCTATGCAGCTGTACATTTCAATATTTTAGCATGGTTCTTGTGACCGCTGTCATGTATTGCCAAAAGGCAGAAGAGACAGTGAAGCAACAGTGTCTGCAAATAAATTGTTGCTGAGATTTCACTCAGTTAATATGTCCTTCAGATAAAGAACAATGAAGATATTCAAATATAAGGAGTTTCAAATCTAAATTGTACTCTAAATTAGAAAATTAAAAGCAGTTTAGTTCTAAAATTCTGCTGGCCCTATCATCTTTTCATTCTCACTTTTAATATTACTTTATCTTGTCTAATTTTGCCTCACCCTTGTTTTTCTTAATTCTGAGTCACGGTGAAGGTGGAAGATACTCCAAGAGAAATGAAACTTCATTTTGATGACTCCCTAATGCAATAATGATAATCGGCATTAATGTAAGTGGTCACAGGTCACAATACAATTTTTTCTTGGGAGCAGATGATCGAGATAAAGCTGAACATTTGTAGCCTTGAATTTATATGCCTGAACAAAATAAATCAATATGTCTTCAGAAATTACATACAAAACAAAAATTTATTGCCAGTTTTTTCCCCTTCTCGCGATTACATTATTATAGTAACCACAAGGTTAGTGAACAAAAGCAACAAAAGTGGCCACAGGTTGATCGATGAACCAGTTAACTGAACTCATCTTCAAACACTATTTGTGTTCAACAATAAAGCTAAGTCTGGCATCTGACTGAGACCTAACTCCCAATTTGACAGTTGAACTATAGGTTACAAACTACAGGAGTGGCAAACTTTTTATCCCAAAATAAAATGAATGCTGATAGGAAGAAATGTTGAATGCTGGAAACAAAGGAGAAACAAAGGAGAAAATGCTAGCGATGCACAGGTGAGTCTGTTATCATCAGAAAGAGAAAGATCCTAACATAGTAACAATTTCAGACATAGACCATCAATCCTTCGAGCCTACCCATCCAATTTTCCTCTGGAATATCAATCTCTAAATACAATGATCTAGAATCCTTTTAGTTGTCAGGATTTTGCCTGGTTCCTTTTTGAAACCCTTTTTTGTTTCAAGTTCCACCACCTGTTCTCGTACTTTGATCTAGGTTTTGGTAGTGATCCCAAGTATTGCCAGCATTTCTGTAGTCACCAACTACTCTGGTATTATCTAGTGTGCCCCATTTTAGGCAGTCTGGGGAGCAGAAGAGAAGGAATCATGATCAGGTGATAAATCAAGGTTCTGCCTGACTTTTCATGTGGATGTTAAAGATCCTGTGACACTATCAAAGCAACAAATATTTCTCCCTTGATAAACAATGCTCCAGATAACATTGAACCTGGCTGATTGTGGGATATTGTGCCCACATTGGTTGCCACGTTCATCTACAATTGCAATCACTAGACTTTACAGCAATCCCCAGTGAAGCACTTTGAGACATTGACAGTATAGGTGCTATATCAAATGCAAGGATTATTATTACATTGGGAGAAGTTTTGAAGCAAACGATGGAGAAAGAAGTGAAATTATAGCAAATTATACAACACTACAAACTTATGTCAAATTCTTGTCACAGAATGATGGCATTAACTTAAATGTTCTATTTGACCTACAGATCCAACAACTGTAGGGTTAAATTGCTGATACACAATTGGCTCTTTATCCTCAGTTAACTTTCATATTCATCATGAGAACTTTTTCAACAGAAGCAAACTACAGGCTATTGGGGGTTTCCAATTCACGACTCATCGCTTTACAAACGGAATTACAGATAAAAGGAGCCCATCTATAATTTTCTTTTTTTTTAAAAAAAAGTCACTAAGGTTTGCAACACACATTTAACAAAATTCTCAAGAAAACATGTTGAATCAAGCTCAACAATTCAATCCAATTGTTCCTGAAGTTTTACAAGTTGGCCTCAGAGGGATGCTCTGTTTTCCCGCTGTGCTCGTTTCCGCCAATTTTAGGTCTTCCTGGTCTTGTGTGCAGGGGCTCGCAGGCAGATCAATGCCACCGCTGGAATTCAAAGGGGACATTGGATCCGATGACTGATCTATGGGTTTACTCACTGCATTCTGCAGAGGCACAGAGATAGGCAGGTTCATCACATATAGTGCATTGCCTATGCGTCGAGACACCTGAAACGGGATTTAAAGAAATTATATCCATCCATTGATTACAGAGGTAGGGGAGAAGGATAGGTTTGCTTCCAATCAAAGTCACTTATTTAGTGGAGGGATTTAACCGAAAGATAGGGGAAGGATAAGGATACAATTGGGAAGTGGGATTAGGGAAGATTGTAAAATGAACAGCATGAGTGTCTATGGTGGAGTGGGTTTGATGCCAAAGGGCATTCTCCTCTTAGTAATTCCCTATGTTGCTAACCACGTGACAAATTATTGATCTGCAAAGCTATTTTTCATAGCTAGCAAGACAAACCTATTCCTTACATTCAAGCTGATGGGAGAAAAAGAAAAGTTACGTTTTAAGTTAAGCATTTCTGCATGGAAGTAAGACATCTATCTCTGGAATTTCCATGTGTAGGTAGGACGCATAGAATTCTCAGCTTGGTTTGGATACTCTTAAGCTTGGTGATGGGTTTCCGCATGTGTCAGACACCCAGCAGATCAAAAAAAAGATATTTTGTATCTCAAAGGAGTCAATCATTCAGTCATCTTGTTGACCACCTGCCACAGGCAGTGGGTGACACTGTGGATGTACCTGAGAGCGGATTTTTAGTGCAGGTCCTAACTTCAGCCCCATGATGTCCAGAAGATGCTCTTCTGTCAGTAGAGGAAGGGTCTCTCCATCAATGGCGTGATCTTTGAAGGTCTTGCAGTTTGAAAAAGAAGTTTAAAAGTGTTTCATTCCTTAGCACAAACAACCAAATGATTAAACAAAATCCCCAATAAATAGAATAAAAAGAATTAGGCCATTAGATGACATTTTGTTCCTCCCCCAATTTAAGTTTAGGGGAGTACCATTTCTATAAACCAGCAACAATAACAACAATAAATTACATTTGTATAGCGCCTTTCACATTGAGGGACGTCCTCAGGCCCTGGACAGTTAGAGATTTGGAGTCAAGTTCTTTCTCACTCTTATAACATGGCTCTTATATTGTTGTTTATTGACTAACAGAGCTTCCAAAAGGACAGGGAAACTACAGGTTTTGTCATAGGAAGATGCATGAAATAAGGTTCAACTTATTCAATGGAACGCTGCTTTAATTTAGCCTTACACAGATCAAATCACTCACCTGAGCATACTCGGAGCAGCCTGGGAGGATATTGATGAAATTATAAACATCCTCTATACTCCACTTTCGGATGTCCTCAATGGATATTTCCTCTCCTGGTACGAACATTCCGTGAGATCCTGCAGAGCAAACCAGCAAAGTCACTCAGTGGTAATTACAACAATGCACATCCACCCTAAATCCTCAGCTCATCTGATGTAAATGGAAGAACCAATTGAAGTAAAACTCAAAACATACTTTGCATTAGAAAACAATTCCTTACCTAATGGCATAAATTGATTTGTTGATAGCTGAAAGCCATAAGGCAACGTGGGCAGAGGCATTGTAGAAGGGAACATAAACTTGTCATCAAAAGCGGCACAGTTATTGGGCAAATCCTTCTCAGTTGTACCACATGCAGGGTTGCAGTTGGCTGCTTCCAGACAGCCTTCATTGCTACCCTTGTGCTTCCTCAGCTCTTGCTCTTTGTGGTTCTTATTTGGGACTGGAGGCAGCGACGAACTGGTGCCCATTTTGGTTTGGTTTGGTTTGGCCGAGGTGTCCATCTTTGAATCGTACTCATCCCCAGCCTCCTTCTCCATCGGCTCGGTGGGCAGTTCCGTTGACTTACTTTCCAATTGTCCTTTGGGATTATTCAGGTTGCTGTCCACACTCTTCTGGCTGGCCGCCCTCCTCCCACCTCGCCGACTCCTGTCCCTGTGCAAGGTGCTGATTGGCGGGTATGGATTGGATGTGATTAGCAAGCTATTGCCAGCGTTTATATCATCCAGTGTGTTTCGATGGAGGAATGCTTCGCTGGCAAGGTGACCCTCTGGTAGTCTGTGTCTGTTGTGGAATGTAATGGGGTTTGCTGAAATGCCAGAATAAATTAGGGGTGCCTCCATTCCCAACAGCCCTTTCCGATGAGCGTTCTCCAGTTCTTTTTGTTGGAGAAGAGCATTCATTTCCAACCTGGAATGACAAATTCAACTCCTTAAGATTTTAAAAGATCTCCTTGGCGAACAAGTTACATAAACCTTTTCCTTTGTTGACACAGCAAAAAAATTCCATTATTATGGAATTTAATATCTGTTTACTAGTGCTAGCACAAGCATGAAGCAAGTAGTATGAGCACAACATATTCTTTACTTTGGTGTCATTAAGTTGTAGTAGAATTTTGATAGCTTAATTAGGTTGAGTATGCTTGGAGCATCGTTTTAGATAGAACATTGGCGACATGGCTGTTCGTGAGAATTTACTGGCCAGTATATTTGCCTACAAATACAACCACTATACAGGACACAAATTAGCCTTGACATACTAAAATGTTTTGATATGATAAGACTGTATAGAGATATGAGTTCTTTTCTCAGTCAGATGTGAATTTTGAAAGTTGTTCTACCCTACAAATACAGTCACTAACCTTCACAGTAAAAGTCCTGCAAACCACTTTGCATCATGATGATGCAATAATGTGCTGTCGCAAATGCAAAGATTATTATTATCCTGAAACAAATCTGCTCGATAAATGTGAAATGATCCAACTAGTTTCTCATTGCATCATCTGAGTAGTCATTAGTCTAGACAGTGTAACGTGCCTCCCACATACAACAGCATTAAGTGTGAAAAAGTTATTCCTTAAGCTAAATGGCTTCCTTAGTTTATAATTTTGTCCTCCAAATCTATGCAGTACTCTTTTTGCACAAAATACTTTGACTCTTTTGTGAAGGGGAGAATCTTTTAAAAATGAAGAATTTCCATTCAAATACTGACATCCCAGCCACTTACACTAGTGATGCAGCATTATATACTTTCCTATTCTTCACAAGCCTGCTTAAAAAATAAAAAAAGTCACGAAGAGTAAATTTAGGAGCACAAATAACCTGAAAATTAAGAGGGTTAATAGCACAAACCACCTATTGAGCCTGCACGCACCTTGCTAGATTTTGCTTGTGGATCAGTTCTTGGCGTCTGGTGAGAGAATCCATAGCATTAGGCTGCAAAAAGCTATACCCTTAGAGAAAATATATAGAAAGTTATCAGTTATAACAGGTTGGTTGCTGTAGAAATCTGTTTTGGTAGAACATAGATGCAAGACCATTTTGTCTTAACTTTTGAGATCACACAATCATCATGGAATCATAGAATTATGCAGCACAGAAGGAGGCCATTCAGTCCATCGTGTCCGCGCTGGCTCTTTTGAAACAGTTGTCCAAGTTAGTCGCACTCCCCCACTCTCTCCCCATAGCCCTGCAAATTTGTCCTTCCCAAATATCTATCTACTTCTCTCTTGAAATTTATATTTATTCTTAATTTGAAACTGGTTTCTGCAAATCTTAAATAGCATCCTACTTAGCAATGGATTTAAGTATTTAAAATTTCTGCACAACCTAACATTTTAAGACAAAATGCTCTTCCAGGCTAAGACTAGTTGGAATTTTAGGCGTTGGATCAGAGCTTTCTGATACTTGGTATATCCAAGAGCATATCTTACAAGAAAACTAACATCACATAATGATGAACAAACTAAAAACACTTAAAACAAACTAGGAACAAACACTTTGAGAGAGTATGTACACTCAGCCCTTTGTTGTTTTCCACTTTAAACACACCCATCACAGATTTTCTATTCACCCATACTTTAATGTTAATACAACCCGTCGCCCTTCCTGTAGAACACAGCATTCAAAGTGAAGGCACCTCATGCAAGTATATTTCCCAAATGGCTGCACCCTTTACCTGCTCCTGGGTAGGCACAATTAGGTAAGGTGTTTGTGTGCGTCTGGACTGGCGGTCCTAGTTGGGAGCTCAGGTGCATCTGCCGTGCATCAGCTGAAGGAAGCATTTCGGAGGAGGGTAGGAGCTCCCTGCACAGAGAAGGTGGTAAAAGCAACATTCAGTCTAAATTTATCATCATCAACAACTGGATCAAAGGAGCTGAGTGAGGAATGTAGGGATCCCATGCTTCATCTCCTTCCTCTACATCTCATCTACCCATTCAACCCATACCTTTCTCCAGTTCTCCTGCCTGTTTGTAACACAGCAGCACTTTCAACTTTTGCCCATCTCCCTTCCTTACTTTATTAATCCCTAAATCTATTGTTCTGTAGCATTTCGCATTTGGTATACTATATATTTAAGCATAAGAGGATGGGCCAATTTCTGCATTGCCTCACATATAACACACACACACACACAATATAGTATAACAAATAAAATTATGTGTGTAGAATGCAGGAAAATGACCCAAACTCATTCTATTCTTATTCACGCAAGCCACAATTCTAGGCATTCTGAAGCAGTAGTTCGCTCAGGTTTCAGACCATCGGATTTGTATAAATCAACAAGTTGTAGCTTCTGCAACAAAGTCTGTCAATAACTGTGTATGTATGGGTGGGTGTGGGTGATGGGGTTATATTTGAATCAGAACTATTTATAATTCAAATAGCATTCCCTGCTAATTAAACCTGGAGTTTTTTTAAATTAATTTGACATTGGTGCATTAGACTTATAGTGGTGAGGCTTTAGGGGGCCTGGACTGAAGAGTCCTGTAGCTCAGTGGTTAGTGCACTTGCTTTGCAAGGATTATTATTATTGATTCCCAGCAGGGTGAAACCTTGGGCAAGTTTCCTTATTCCACACGCCTAATAATAATCCCTCATGAAAAATAAACAGTAATAAATTGGTCACTTCAATCCACGACCGTTTGTGGGACACTGCTGTGCGCAATTGGCTGCTGCATTTCGCCCACAAAAATTGGAAAGCTCGGCCATCGATTATGGCACCAGCGTGAGGAAACGCACTATGAGTTAGCTGATAGGAGGGAGAGATCAGAGAATCAGAGAAGTGGGGTAGGAGAAGATCAGGGTGATAGGGAGGTGCTAGGGCATGAAGGGATTTGTAGGAGAGGGTGAGAACCTTAAAATCACAGTAGCCATAGACAGTTGTAAAGTTAGTGTACAACACCCACACACTAGTGAGAGCTTTTAAAAGCAATGCACTGCAACATTTCAGCCTTTATTTTGGTTTAAATTCTGAATACAGAACACTAGGTATGTTCCAGTTACCTCTCTAAAAAACGTGGTTCAAAGTGTGAAGGAAGTGCCTGCAATCTCTGCTGTCCAGACCCTATTATCTGAGAGTGAGGGTTCATGACCATCATTTGATTCCTCATCAGCATCTCCTGACGGTGCCGAATATCTGAATAAGAACAAACTTAAAATTAATGATCAGACAATGGGCGATCGATCACCTGTCCAGGCCGCTAATTTACTGATAATCAGAGAATGACTCTGAAATATTCCTCACAAGAATTTTGCCCATTGATACCCTCAATCACCACAACTGCTGCCGAAACTGTCACCTGTGCCTTCGTCAGTATGAGGATGGGAATAACGGAACTGAAAACATTAGTGTGATTCACCTGGCTGATCCCAATGTTAAAAGAAAACATTACTCATTTCTCTACTGCCGTCCTCCCGAGATACAGTATATCTTTCACAATCACACCTATGTCATTTGGAACCCTTCGCTATCTTTCACTTGGCTTTCAGAAATCTTGTACAGATTGATAGCATCTGTCACCTCTACATTCTTCCCACTCTTCTTGCCCGAGTTCCACCATTTCCACTGTTGAAGAACTTTGAGATATTCATTTAGTTAATTGGGGCTGTATAACTGCTATCTGTTTTTTTATGAGGGCTGTGGGATGCAGTATTTCATGGAAGAAACAGAGAAACATCACTATTCGTCTTCATCAGATTCATGTCAAAGAAGAAAGGCCGGCTTTATTCTGCAGTACACCCACATAGCATCTCCATCAGTTACAGTATGTGGGTGTAGTGCATCTAGATATTTGGCTTGATTCAATCTCAAGTTGGAGAGGTGTAAAGAACTATGTGTTCTTCCCATCTCATGCTAGGGGAACTCATTGTCTAAGCTGACACTCCAATGCAGTGCTGGGTGGCGGGGGTGTTGCAATGCCTGAAATGCTGGCCTTCGGATGTCTGTTCAGGTGATATTAAAGATCCCATGGCACTATTCGAAAAGAGAAGGGAGTTTCTCCCGGTGCTCATCCAACAATCTCCCAATTAAAATTGGTCATTTGTTTCATGATTGTTTGTGGGACGTTGCTGTGCACAATATTGGCTGCTGTATTTACCTGCAAATACACTGTCACTCCATTTCATAGTAAATCCTGTGAAGCACTTTGAGAAATCCTTCCGACACGATAAGGGGCTATATGAAATGCATGGATAATTATTATAAAGGCTTCTTTCTGCTTGCAAAACTACTAACCTTGAGGTCCACCTGCCCCGAGTCCATTAGCTAGTTGGTAGAGGTGGTGGTGCTGCTTGTCATCCAATGCGCCCTGTTCATTCAGCACCGACATCTTGCGGAAATGTTCTCTTGGGGTCATGATTTCGCCCAGATTCACAGGTTCCCACGTTTGGTCTTTTTCTTCAATGCAAAGTACAAAAAAAAACCTTGTTAGGAATCTTTATATCAATTGAATAGGATAAACCAAACCTGATTTTGGTGATGGCACACCACAAACATCAGTACAGGAACTCATAACTGCAGGATGGTTCCAAGCAGAATATTTTAATTTTCATCTGAATTCTGGTAAATAATTGGCAATCTTACTTGGAATACACAAATAACCACAAATAAACAGTTATAGTACATTCCCGAAAACTCTGTGAAGCGTTTTGAGACATTTCGATATGATAAGCTGTTATATCAAATGCAAGGATCATTAATTATCTTTGTCCAGAAAAAAGTTAAATCAATAGGCCATGAGGCAAAACTATTCTTCTAGCCTGTTTTGGCAGCACCTAGAAATTAAAAAAATAAGACGTGTGCCTTTGCATATATAGGCAGAATTATACCTTGGTGAGTCTAGCCTCATGCTATGTGGGTGAGAGTGGGGAAACAGGGCTGAGTTTTACCTAGCACATGCCCCAACTTCCCTGTTCCATTGGCAGTAATTTTTCCCTCTGGTGTGGAAGGGATAAAAGGGAAGTTGTGACAAAAATGTTTAAATATAAAAGGTACGGTTTGATAAAGGGCACTGTTGAACAAACAGCTTTGGTGGTGAAGCTTAATCATCTCACCACCAGTAGCAAACTGTCTCACCCATTTGGATGAAAATCCAAACCTTGACATGGTAATTAGTACTTTAAAGGGAGTCACTGGCCACATGAAGAGACCATCCTGAAAGGAAGGAAATTTTAATCAGATAATCGCACAATTCCTCACGACAGCTGTTCTGCTCTAGATTCACATCCCTTGCCCTATCTTATCCTGCTCCTTAATCCTAGGTGCATCGCATATTAATGGGATGTTGAGGGCATAATCCTACCTTTAGCACTTTAGCCTCAGCAAACCTTGTTGCAAAGCAGGCGGTATTGTTCTCTTAGTGATAATCCCGTCCTCTCTTAGTAGTAGTAAAGCACGCTGACACAAATCACAGCACCCCTTCCTACAGTACAGGCAATAATCTGCTCACTCGAAAGGCTTCCCCCTTGGCTCTTAAATAAGATTATTTTGCTGGTACAAAACTGAAGGGTTGGTTAACATTGCTAACATTTGAGCTAAACTTCCACAACCAGTGGTTGGTAGAGTCATATATGTGAAAAAACATGATATTATGCAATAGCTGAGGAACACCCATGTAAAGAGGATGATTGCCATTAATTCTCTACCAGATGTGTTCCAGGCTTATTTTTACTGACTCAGGCAGAACATCTCCCCCTCACCCCCCCCCCCCCCCCCCCCCATCCCACTCACAAAATCAGACATGAAGTACCTTTTCCTTTTTAAAAAAAAAAGTAAAACAGCAGATGTGGGAATCATTATCTGTGTCAAACCTCAATGTACTCAGAGCAGGTCCAACTGCTAGCGAATTGCCCCCTTGTATTGGGCTCTACACTGCACATTGATTTTACTCATATTGGCATTAAAAGAGCCTCTCATCACTCACCTTCAAAGATAACTTTCCACCTATAAATTGCAGGATTTTGAAATTATTCCAAGATTTTAAACCCAAATTTTTTTGAACATGAACATTTGGAAACTTGCCAATTCATGGCAGTTCTTGAGATCCTGTGATTTTTCAGTCTTCCACTTTTCAACTGCACATGGAAAAAGCATCTAGTCTGGTCTATGGGCCTCTCTCTCTCTCTTATCCACATTTATATGCACCAAATTAAAATACTGCCTTTTAAGTTTATCCAAAAAAGCACATTTGAACATTTTAAGCCAAATGTTATCCATGAATCTGCTCATTTTTGTTGTTTTTTTTGAAAAAAGAAAAACTGCCACAAAATAAAACAATTGAAAATAAGTGAGTACTTGTGTTGTTGGTGTTTTCCAATTTCAACTTTATAGACCTTAAGAGAGGCTGCAAGACTCACTTTGTACCAGGCATTTTTACTGTCTCCAGTATCTTTGCATTGATTGAGTCAAGGTAATAATCCTTACGTTTGGGTATAGAGCCTTTCACATCGGGAGGATGCCTCAAAGTGCTTCACAAAATATACTGTATAAAGTATGACGACTATTTTTTAAGCCAAATTTTATCCATGAATCTGCTCATTTTTGATTTTTTTTTAAATGGAGCAGCCAATTTGCACACAGCAATGTCCCACAAATAGCCATGAAATGAGTGACCAGTTTTATTTGAGGGATTGTTGGCCAGGACACTAGGAGAAACTCCCTTCTCTTTTCAAATACTGCCATTGTTCTTTAACGTCCAACTGAACAGTAAGACAAGGCCTCAGTTCAACACCTCATCCGAAGGGCGGCACCTCCAACACTGCAGCACAACCACGTCCTGACTTTGGGCTTGAATGCACGACCTTCTGACTCAGAGGCTTGAGTGCTACCAACTGAGCCAGGCTCACACAGAGCTGCTTTGTATATAAGTTTGAGCATGAAGCTTCACCACCGTTCCTATCACAGTGTGAGCAATTAAGATTGCTCTAAACTCCTCAAGCCCAACCCTCTACACAAATAAGTTTTTCCCCACAGTCAATATATTGCAAACATCCCAGCATTTCACATAGCTCCTAATAGAAAATTGCCCTCTTTATTGTTTTCTTCCGCTTTACGATATTGGGCAACAGAGAGAATTTTCCATGACCTTGCCAGATGTTTCTGGTGCTGGCATGTTTGCCAAAGTATGCGCAAACATGTTCAGCATTTACCACGCTGTAGGCATTGGGAGGCTTAAACTGGATGATTCTGAATAATGATAGTTGAACAAATATTATTTTTTTTAAAAAAACATTGTGTTTCAGGTTTATTCAGGTTTTAGTGAATTGAATCCATTCCAAATGTTAGATTTCAGCCCAGTGTGATCAGAATTCACCATAGCAGAAGCCAGATGTAAAGAAAGTGCTTTCTGCTCTGCCCCAACACTGTTGCTTAATCAGTTCTCAAGCAAATGGTCTTCTGCAACGCTGTGATATTTCTATTTCCCACACCATTATACTCTGACAAATTAGTATCAATTGATGCCAATTTAGAACAAATCTGTGCCAAATTTTGTACAGTATGCTTTGTGCTTTGAGCCTGTGTCAGATAGCAATCTTAGATGGATCTGATCAAACACTTCTACAAAACAGCCAATCTTATTATCTCTGAATGAGACAGAAAATTTATAATGACCTCTGTGCTGTGGATCTTCAACCCGAGGAAATCAGTCACTCATTTCACTCAGGGCCTTGGAGCTGAGATGGCTCTAAGATGACGAACCTGGCAACAAAATGTCAACTGTCTGTGATGGTCTTGGTAGTCTGGTTCCTGAGCCTGTTGGGTCCACTGAACTCCAGGGCACTGTTGATGACACATCAGTCAGCCCGGCTCATTTGCAGGGAGAGAGTGGGGCATCAGGGATTCTTTCCACTAAGCTCCCCTTAACCCTGCAAGCCAAAGCACTAATGACTAGGGTGATCCCAGCTGGATAGGTAGCGGGAAGCTTTTCATACAGTGCTCTCAATGGCAAACTATGATTTTAGCTAGTTAATCTCCAAGTTTTGCCACCTGCCAACTTACACTGTATGCTCTCCCTCCAAGTGCTCATTCTCTTCCAGACAAAGGGAAATGTCCATGTGTAGGTGGTATGCATGTGTGAAACTCTCAGAGTGGCTTGAATACTCTTAAGAATGGTGATGGGTTTCCGCATGTGGCAAGACATCCAGCTTAACCAAAACAAAACTGTTGATGTTTTGACAAATTCAATAACATGAAGAGAGTCTCAAGCTGGGTTTCATGATGCCTAATTCTTGGAAGTAGGCAAGGTAAGATACTTTTTCAATGATTGTTTTAAAATTTGTCCAGCATTCAAAAAAGTTAAATACTTATACATTTATAAAGATCATGCAAAGAAAGAGTAATGTGTGAGCAAACAGCAGTAAATTACAAAAGTACTTCACAATGAAAGTCTAGAACAAGATGGATATTACCCTGAAGGGTCAAGTGTTTGATACCTTAAAGCAACCCCATCCAGGAATACCATGCAACGGCCATAAGCCCATTTGGAAGATTCAAGATTCAAGTTAACATCTTTTTAAGCATCTAACCTCCCATAGTTATTTCTGGTATTTCCTTTCCTCCACCATGAAAATGTAAAGATATTCCTTTTGATCAATAAACCATTACTTCTATTTAGGATCATCATTGTACATATAAAGAAGTTAAATTCTAGCTAAGTCGGCAACAGAAAATAACATGCATGGGATTGATGGGATCTGACTTACCAGTTTTTTCTTGCAAACTTTCAAGTCTATGCCTGCAAAAATGGCTCTGCACCTCTCTTCTAGTCCACTTTGTCCCTTAAACTGATGAGGTTTTGCGTCTAAAAGGCTTTAGATGATAAGTAGATGATTATTACACCTGTATTTTGTTTTTATTGTAGACTTGTACAATTTGCAAAAGTAGAATGATACTGCATCTTCTTCAACCTGGGACCTCATTTCATGCTGCAACACATCAACAGTATTGGGAGAAACGTTGCTTCAGTAATAAACAAGTACCAGTACAAATTCACATTGCACATCATAACCTGTTCATTACAAGGAACATACACTAAAGCCATATTGCTTATGGTCAAGTGCTTTATCTGGATTTATTTCACTTAAGTTCCATATAGCTGATTTATCTTCTTGATCAATCAACAACAAAAACAAGATTGCATTTATAGAGCGCCTTTCAGGTCGGGAGGACGTCCCAAGGCGCTGGACAGTTGGGTCAACAGTCAATATTAAATGTAGAAAATAGTGCAGTCTTCTATGGGGTGAAATTCCTCAAGCTGCCGTATTCCCCTATAAAATGCAGTAACTCCACATTACATTTTGAGACATTCTCCCGATGTGAAAGGCGCTATATAAATGCAATCTTGTTGTTGTTGATCAAGGAGTATTATTATTCTTCATTTCCTCATCACGAACCTAAGAGACCAATTTCACCAGCCTTGTCTGTAATTTGGTGAGGGCCAGTCAAAATATTCTAAATGATTTTTCCTCCTCCATCTATATCTATAGCTATTCTATACCGTTTAACCATAGGTATAGAATGGAAGAGGCAAAATAAAGCATCAGGTCAGGTATAGCATCTGATCAAACAGGTAAAACAATACAGATAAGTAGCAGCAACTTGTTGGCACAGCACACTGATACCATAACACGAGGGGTCATAATTGTGCCATTTACTCCTACGCATTCATCACTGACCTTCACCAATCTCACCAACAGAATCATGCGAAAAACACAGAAGCTTAAGGATTTGAACAGATGCAAAACATTTCACAGAGAGCACAACGAACGAAGAAAAACCCTGGCACTGAAATGATTAACCCTTTAAGGCCCGTAGTAAGACTGCTGCTGCGAAAACAAACCAATTCAATTTTAATTTCAAAATAAATTAAACCATTTAGTCTAAACCAATGGATCGGCATTTTCTCCTTTTCCAGTAATCTACTTGTCAATGTGGTCATAAGGTTCCTTGACTCTCCATAACTGGTCATCTCTCTAATTGCAAAAATCTAATCTATTCATCACATTATGCAACACATCGATGACTTCAGTCACAAGCTTCAGACTAATTCAATTCAAAATATACACAAGGCATTTAAGGCACTAGAGAGACGATGCCAGATGGACTCACTGCCCTCTAACATATGCTAGAGATAAATTGAATGCAGGTGACATTTTCTGTGCAACAAGGAAATCTTCCAGATCTCCAATTTATGGGAAGAAGTCTTATGAGATCCAGC